ATATATATATATATATATATATATATATATATATGTAGTCAATCTCAGTTGATCTGGAATAGGCGACAATCAGGAGAGCCAGAGAAAAGATGCTCCAGAAGAAAACTACCTGGAAGTGTCCAGAAGGTCAACCGATTGACCTCAGGAAGATAAATAGGGTCAAAGTCAAGGGGTCCTTGGGTGGGAGACCCCCAGCAGAACTCCAGAGCTGTAGGGGAGACTGAAAAGCATCCTGGGAATGTGAAGAGGGGAATCCTACTTCTGTGTTATTGCCATAAATTAACATTTCTATTCTTAAAGTCACCAGGAACTGATCTCAATTCCAGGGAAACTTCCCTTCTTTGTAGATCATGAAGCATTTTGCAGGCATTGAAAATGCAACTGAGCACAAGATGAAATCCTGGCAGTAACAGAAATGAGCCATTTCTGCATAAAATAAAATGAAATGAAATGAAGGGAAGGGAAGGAAAGAAGAGTCGTCCCAGGCCAGGCCAGGTGGTCCTTGAGTTCCTGTCCCATCAGAGTTTCAGGGAGTATCAGAGGCCGTTTGACACTCTGAAAAGGGGAAGGGAGACTGACGGAGGCCCTGAATGCAGAGAACACTTTTGTCCCGAGATGAATTGGGGATGAAATTCCTCCCTTTGGGACTTCAAAGGCAGCAGCCGGTTCCTCAACTGGGCAGGAAGGCTTGGGAGGGGGCAGGAGAAAGAGTCTCGGGGTTTCTCAATGCCTTTGTCCAGTGGTGAAAATTAAAAAAAATACACTGCTGGATCTGTGGGCGTGGCTTGGTGGGCGTGGCAGGGGATGGATATTGCAAAGTCTCCATTCCCCTCCCCCCCACTCTGGGGCCAGCCAGAGGTGGCATTTGACGGTTCTCCGACCTACTCAAAATTTCTGCTTCTGGTTCTCCAGAACCTCTCAGAACCTGCTAGATTTCACCCCTGGTTTTGTCCAAGGCAAGAACTTTGAGCAGAGGGATCCTGGCCTCCCATTGGAAGATCCTTTGAAAATCCCCTTAGGAGCAACAACGAATGAATGGAAACAATATCGCCAAGAGAAAGGGACCTACATTCTGTGGCTTGTTCAGTCCAATCCAGACCTGATATGGAAGCGAGAGATAGTCAGTGAGGTACTCGGCCAAGTCAGCTGACTCTGCATAGCTGTGGATGGAGGCGAGGTGGCAGCCCGGCTTGAATTTCCTGCAGAACATCTGGGAGAGAGAGAGAGAGCAACCACAAGAAAGGCTGTTGGTTCAGCAGGGAAGAAACAGATGTGTTTGCGTGTTTGTACCCATGATCTTGAACCCTGCAGATTTCCTCACTGGGATCTGTAGCTCTTGGCCACTTCAAACATCTTGAAATCTCTTGACTACAAGGTGGTCACTCAACCCTAAAGCTCAACACAGAATAAAGACGGGATCTTGGAGGCACTGTTCCCTCTAAGGTGCGCGGCTGCGCGGCCGCGCACATGGCAAGAAACCCCCGCGCAGCAGTTTCTAACTGCCGCACAGAGATTTCACCAAAGCAAACGTGGGGAAGTCCTTTACAGGCGGCTAGAACTGGCCGCCCGCAAAGGACCTCCTCAGACTGGGAGAGATATTAAAAAAAACC